TTTCAACAACATTTTTCCACCACTTTCTTCTAGTGCTCTTTTAAGAATAGTTTCAGAAGTCATACATATGTTTATTACATCATCGGATGGAGATATTAAACCACCTTTATCTCTCAGTGCAATCAAGGGGACATTTTGTACTGAAGACGTTAATGCTTCAATACACTCTTCACATTTAATTTTTTTTAACAACTTTCTCACAACAAATCCTCCCATATAGGCAACTATTTGTTTTGTAAATTCTGTTAATTGTCCTGGAAGTTGAACGTAATTGTGATCCGTAATATCATCGTAGACATCCAAATCATCTAAAAATTTAGCAAACATTAAAGTGGAAAAGCGACTTATCAACTTACCATCTGTATGTATTTTTTTTAAAGCATGTTTCGTTAATAATCTCTACTGCTCTGGTACTTTCACGTGTACTAGAACAATGTAAAATACTAAAGCACTCTAAAGGAACACAATTTCCATTACTCGAGTTTTTAAATTCTGCTTGAATTAGCAATTTTTTGAACGCAGATTTAAACTGACGAGCTGTGGGATTATTATTAAATCCAGTGTGGGCCCTTATGGCTGAGAAAAAAAGTTCAACATGATCTTGAGACATCTTGTATGTGGGTATATAAGCCAATAATTTCTTTGATAAAATCATTTCATGTACCATTAATTTTAGTGATTCAATGCAAATCATAAAACCAAGAAATCCAGTCCTTCGATTTGAATATATCACAGAACTTGTACTGATCAAATCAAACTTTAATCCTTGAATATACTTTTGTAGTTTGTCAAGCTCATTAAATAAATATTCAAAATTGTTTGCATTTATTGGCTTTTTGAAATCAAATTGCTTGATACTTCTGCTATTCATTATATCAAATAAATTATTGAAATTATCTAAAAACGTAATAGTTCCTGTTGACTCCTTAAATTCTTGCATCTGTAATTTATCTTTGCAAATACTCAATGCAACAGCTACTGAACGTGATAAAAGCTGAGTAACTAATTTAACTTTCATTTTTTGGTTTTGAAAATGTATGTGAACACCTCTCAACTTATTTGCTAAATGCAGACCTCTCAACTTATTTGCTAAATGCAGACCCGAGTAGAAGTCGTGCACTTTGCCGCCATCTTGGATTTTATTCGCGGGGTCAATCAAGGTCAATTAAATTGATTCGCGGGTTCGCCCCCGTGGACGAGGGGTGTTTTCGAGGGTGGAGGGGGGAAATTTGGAGTTTGATTTGATTAATTGATTAAAAACTGTGGGATTTTGGTCTTTATTGACATTTGATAAGAGCGATGACGTAATCGATTAATTTAATTCGCGGCTTGATTAATTTAATCGTCGTTTTGATTGATCTAATTAATTTAATTCGGGGTTTGATTGATCTAATTAATTTGATTCGCGGTTTGATTAATTTAATCCGCGGTCCAATTAATTTAATTCGCGGTTTGATTTCTCGGAATTTCCTCTAATTAATTTAATTTGTGGATTTGATTAATTTAATCCGCTGTCCGATTAATTTAATTCGCGGTTTGATTGATCTAATTAATTTATCGATTAATTTAAATTGATCGTATAATCAAGAATAATTACACATATGTAATAATTACACACAGGTAACTCTAATTGAAAACAAAATGGCGGAAAAACAAAATGGCCGCCAAAGGCGGGAAATTTGAAATTTTTTCTATCTTTCTCTCTTACTCACTGCGTCTATCTCTCTCTTACTCATTGCGTCCCTCTTTTACCTATTCTGAAATAGAAGTTAGAAAATGAACAAGTTTTAATTATGTTTATTAGGGTGCAACAATTAACAAAAAAAAAAACATTACAATCAAAAATTAAGCGCAAATTACAATTTAAAATATACAATACAAACCCGTTTCCACACCACCCAGGAGGTAGAGTTAAGGCGCGTTTTTTTTAACGTGGTGTTCCCCTGTAGGCCTAGTCCACAGAACGTATTTACAAACTTAAAAACTAATATGTACAACTTAAAATTAAATATGTACAGTAACTATCAAAAAGAATTACTTCTTATAACCATACGGTAGTGTGTCGCAGCCTACAGCTATGCGGCGACGCTTTGTGTACGCGACACGATAGCGCTTCCTCTCAGGCTTGGAGATGACGTCGTATGTACAAGTCCTGGCTATACGACGATCAGTCTCCACAAAAGTCTCTGGGGCATTGTTCAACACGGCGTCCTTGATTGTTTCGAAATTCACCACAGCACTATTTTTGTAATTTAGGGAGATGCCCTTAACCTTACACACTACACTATAATTGTTAGTACTTGGGGAAAACACCTTGAACGCATAGTTTTTCGGTCCACCACTCACAAACTCAACTATTCTGCTGCCGGGGCCATAGCATTCCACCTCGTCAGTCATATCTCCCAAGAAGTTGCCGCAAGCTGGTGACCACTCTCCGGGGTTCTCCGTGAAGATGACTGAATCGGTGTCAAAGTACAAGACTCGTTCACCCAGCTGCTCGAGATAGCTGTAGAGTTTTAGGCGGGCATGGGCGGTTGTATAAGCTGCCAACACCACATTGGTGGTCCTCAGGGGTTCGACGGCTTCTTCGGGGAGTGTCCAGTTGACGATGAGGGTCTCGTCGTTCACGGGAATGATCGAGTTGAGTTCCACGGCCGGGTCAGTGAGCATTTGGAAAAACTGCTCAGGCTCTGAGACAATTGCGGTTTTCGTCAGATTGTCGCGCTGTCCAAACTTTCCCCAAAACGAATTGAGGAAAAGTTTGGCAATGTAGCGAAGCCCTGCGTTCACCGCAATCTTGGACCGGTCGAGTTGGATCCCCTCGTGCTCCATGTAGTCGGCTAGGTACTGCATACAGGCCTCCTCGTCAACACACCAGGATGGCCACCCACTGCATTCTTGCTTCGTCTTCAAAAAGTTGTCGACGTAGCCGGTGAATAATCCCCCGCTCTTTGTAGCCTTATCGTACTTGGTGGTACGGTACTCCCATACTTCTTGTATGTCCTCCACTACGTACCCCAAGGAAATGGCTTTACGGAGTTCATCGGCTACGTATGTGCCACTGAACCTCCGTTCTTCTTCAGAGTGCTCACACTCATCCTGCTCCATCGTTTCGCAACATGTGCGGCATAGCGGAAACATGAGCTTGCCGTGGCAACGGTATGGAAGCACGGGGTGGTAGAGGTGTTGGGGCGGCAGAACCGTGCACTTCATTATGCCTTCCACGGAATTAAGATTGACGGTGCGAAGTTCTTCGGGGGTTACAAGTACGCGCGGGTGGCCTACAGGGTATTTTGCGTACTTGTTGACGTAGGGGTACAGGGAGCAGACGTCCAAGTACCTTATCACTTCATCGCCTTCGGTCTTGTGATACAACTTGACGGCATTCGTACGTCCGCCAAAGAAACCGTCTCGGGGGTTTAGGGACTCATTTTTTACCACGTTGTGGTTTTCCAAAAATTCGGCTATATCCGGATTATTAATGAGGTACGTCTTGAAGTCGCACTCCCACATTTCCACGAGATTGTAACCTGCGGCCCTAATACGTACTGACGTCGCCTCAGTCTTCTCGCGACGCACTCCCATCGTGTCCGTTTTATCGCCCTTCAGCGCAGCCGTCTGATCGGAGTGACATCTCTCGCACCCGTGGAAGTAGCAGCCATGGAACTGGTAGACGGTGTTCGTTGCTTGGGAGTACCCGTCCACAATGATCCCTTCCTTTAGGCGCACTTCTCGGGTGTTGCCGGCATGTTGAAGATCGGGGATTTCACGGTTTTGCAATAGCAGTAACCATTTAATGGCTACTTTACTCTGGTTATCGCTTGCTCTGTAACCGCCGTGAGGGATGAGCCCTATGGTCTCTTCCTGGAGAAAGTTTCTTCGGAACACGAGACTGCAGGCGGAGGCAATTGTGCAACACTCTCTGAATGGGTCGACTTTGTTTTCGGTGACGAACTTGTGCCAAAATTCAACGCATGCACGCCGTAGGATGTTGACGTCCTGAATGCAGTATTGTACAATTTCCGCTTGGAAATCGAATACAGCGTTGCGGATTACCTCTCCATTGTACCACTCAAGAAAATCTTCACGATTCTTCGCAGACATCTCGTCACAGCCATAGAAATGGGGTGCGGGCATCGGGCCGACATAATCTTGATTAGCAACGGTGTTGAAGAAGTGCGGAAAGTGACCCTTTGACCCCTCAAAATTGAAAGTTTTTGGGAAAGCACTTAACGGAATCGGTATAAAATTGAGACTGTCGATGAATCTGATGTTGTTATTGCACGCGAGCGAAGTAATTTTTGTGCCTGTCGCAATTATCTCTGGGTTCCAGGCAGAGGGAGTCTTCATCATCTCCTTCAAAATGAAAATACTGTCGTAGCCTTTGCTGTTGTGCGCGATAGCCACGACATCACGATTTTTCTTGGCCAATGATGACACCAGACTTAAAAGTTCATCGACAGGGGCTGTTTTAAATATATGTTGACGGTTACCACAATTGTCACAAGGCATATTAATGTCCTTATTGTTTACGATGCACGTCTTGCACACGTGTTGCGCGACACAAAGATTGGGGATATGCACGTAAGTGTTAGGTCGGTTTTCAAACTGTTCGTCCTGGCGGCACTCAAAGTCGTAGAAAACAAACACAAAGTCTTTGTCTAACTTTTTCTTGTTTGGGGAATTCTTAGCCATATAACAGAGGTGACGTATGGGACGTTCTGCGTTGCAAGTAACACATAGTTTGAACCCGCACTTGTGGGGCTTCTTATTTTTCCACACGGTCGCTAAACACGTCCGACATCGACGTACTTGCGAGCATAAATTCTGGTCTTTATGATAGCGATAGCAGTCCTGTCCACGGAAATCGCGATTACACTCCGCGCACTTAATGTTCACAACATCCTTGTTGCACGGGGGATTGTTGTGACAACAGGGACAAATGTACTTACAGTTTTTGTGAGCCTTACGTTCACTCATGCGTACACGACACGACTCACTCAGCTACAACTAAACGCGGACGTTAGGCTTGTAATCACATTGTAATGTTCATTCTCCATGAGGAGGTTTAGCACTTGACGCTGAGGGGCTCGTGGTCCTTCGAAGTACACCGTCTTGCCCAATCTGTGGTTGTACACGACGATGGTGAAGTCCGTCAGGTAATTCTGGAACTGACGTATGTGCTCAATGGTCCCTCCGTTACTCAAATCTACGCCTGCCGCAGCATACAATTCTCGGGCTTTTTCTGTCTGGAGAGCATGTCCAACTTTCAGGTATGGTAAATCTGGGCTATTGTTACGGAAAGCTATGGCGGTGACCAGCGCACGAGCGAGGCACAGAGTATCATTGTTGTTAATGAGAATGATACCGTGTTTTCGCTGCGAGAACTCCTCAAAAGTAACACCCGTCATGCGTTGCCGCCCCTTGCCATTAGGGAGGGTAATTAGACTCACGTCAACCCGTAGTGCATCGCTGGAGAAGAACGCCTTATTACTTTGCATAACCTTGTCCATGGTCTTCAGCATGACGTTAGCATTCAGTTGGTCGATACGGCGGAATGAAAATCCAAGAGGGTTGTCAGGAAACTCGCTATTTGTCAGCATTAATCCAATGCGATCACTCACACTACGCCTCTTAGTTATATAATTAATAAGCGCAGTCAGTGATTTCTGTAACAGAAATACACAGAATGAAGTTTAGTTTAATAAAAATAGATTTGTATGCATACCTTAAGCCATTCTAGAGGTGCTTCATTGGGCTCCGCATCATCAAACTTGATAGTTAACTGTTGGGCTGTCAAGTTGAATTTCTTTATTACCCGCTCTCCCTCTGACAACACTAAGAAACGTCGAGGTACTCCACGGCCAACTTGGGGTGATAATTGGTGTAGACCCGAAGTAGAGGGTTCGGAGTTAATCTGTAAAGAAGTTAATAATTAAATTCATCGTATAGTATAATTAAAGAAACACTTACATTATTAGATCCCGTAGGTGTAGCTTGTTGTAGACCGGACGTGGAATGTTGTGGATTAAGAAACTGTAAAGACGTTATCATGTAGAACTTGCACACTGAAAAATTATTATGCAACTTACATTATTTACACACGGAGCAGCACGCTTTCGATTAGGCTTTACGCCTGAAGTTGCAGGTCGTGGTGCATTCTGGAATAATGATTCAAATTAAAATATGAACAACTTTACAAAAATAAGATGAACTTACTTTCACAGTGAGGTCCATTGGCTGCGATTGGGTCAGGACGTTTTCCGAAGCCGTTTTGGATACATGGGGCTGTAATAAATTGGGATTAAAATCTGAATATTGAGTAATTGAATATAAACTTACATTTACAGTAAGGTCCAGTGGTTGCGACTGTGTTTTAGCAGTCATAGTCGGATGTTGTAAAGTATTCTACAATCAAAATTACAATTAAAATATGAGCAACTTTAAATTAAAATAAACTTACAGTGACAGTAAGATCGACGGGTTGGGACTGTGGGACGACGCCCGTATTAACTTGCTGCGCATTCTGCAGAGAAATTTATATTTAGAAATTTATAAGTGTACAAATATTAAAAACTTACCACATTTTGTTGAAGCAGGCGCGTTTGAATGGTACCCACCACATCACGAAGACGCCGGAAGTGCACAATGTCTTCTTCTTCAGGAATCACTTCACCGGAAGTTATCATATTGTGCAACTGCTCACAAACCTTAACCATGGCATCCTCGGAAAGGAAGCCAGCATCGAACGCAGCACACATGGATTTAAAATGGGCAGCCATTGCACAAGTTAAAATACACACAAAGCACAAACACAAAGATCACGTAAAAACTCGAAAAATACGCACGTACAAATGTAAGAACGCGAGTAATTCCGAGTCCCCGAAAATAAGATTTTTATATCAGAGCAGGTAAAATAGAATCCGATCCCTTCCGAACATTACCGAACGCTCTATTGTTCTCCTAAAACCGGTTTTCCGCTTGATTAAACATGATCTATTGTTTAAAATGCATGACTCATATTTCGCTAAACCTGTTTTCCGCATGAATAGCCACATTTTTTGTTCTTGTGGTCGTCTTTATGGCACCACGTC